ACTCATGTTACTTATTTTTACTTATCAGCTTGTGATATTCAAAATTTAATAGTTAAAATATAGTTCAGGTCCATCTGGCAATATTTAACCAAATGGTTTGTTTTACGATTGATTTTCAGGTATAATAGGATCAGCTTTATAATTAAGTGAAATCAGCTAATTTCTGACATATTACTTTAATTAATATTAGTCATAATAAAAATAAGTTATAATTATGATTATAACATTTCCTAATTTTTAAATTATAAGCTATTATTTTAAAGTTATTTATAACTATTATATTTTAATTAAAGGTTATTTAATTACTATATATTTCTATATTGAGTATATATTTATTTTTTAATAATATCTTAAAAAATTATATTATAATATTGAATTCAAAAGAAAATATAATTAAATAAAGATAATCTAATTATATATATATTTTTTTTAATATTAATATTAATATTAAAAAGGTATTAAAGGTATTGATTAAAAATTTAAAAAACAAGATTTATAATTTAAGATAATATAATTAAATATTTATTTTTTAGAGAAGTAACTAAAAGATTTAACTAACTAATTATTTATATACAATATATATAGTAATATAACCTATTTTGTAAATATTAAAGGTTAAAACTATATATAATTAATAATATTCTACTTTCTTATAATGATATTTTACTTTTTATAATATGATATTATAAGAATATATACAATTTAAGGAATTTTAATATTTTTATTTACATTTGGATAATAAATATGGGAGCTTTGCAATAGAAAGAGAGGAAACTCTAAAAAAATTTTTTTTTAAGTTAATGTTAAATCTGAACTTATTTTACAAAAAAAATCATAATTAACTTAGAAAGTAAAATTTTAATTTTTTTAGAGTTTCCTCCCTTTCTATTGCAAAGCTCCCATATAATAAATATAATTATGTATAAAAAAATATTGAACATTATATTGAATACTATTAATATAATAAAAGTTTTGAAATTATCATATAAATACTTATCATATAATAATTATATTATCAATATTATTTAGTTACTTTTATCAATATAAAATTTATATATATATAAATATTTGTTAAAAATTTATTAATAAAACTAAAATTGTAATAATAGTTATTAATTTACTTTATAATGAATTTTTATTTAAAATGTTTAAATAAGGTTCTAAAAAAAGTTTTAGATGATTATGAAGTAAAAAGTGAATTTATTAAAATTCTGTTATAGAATTATTATTTAAGCTATTAAAACTTGACTTTTACAAAATCTACGTTTGAATACTTTACTAAGCGAAAATGATTTGAAAAATTGTTGTAATAAAAAATATTATTTTCCAAACGTTTAGTTATAAAGCAGATGTTTATTAGATTTAGAAATTATCAAGTTCTTTTTATAATGTTTGTAACTTGTATTATAACTTGTGGTAGGTACACATTTACATAATCTTTGAACATAATTTTTTCCCCAAGCATAATTCAATTTAAATGATCAATCAATATATACTAGGCACCTAAATAAAATTAAATAAAATGAATCATTCCTTTACAGATTACTCATGAAGAAAAAGAAGATTTACGCGTTATACAATCACAAATATAGATTAATAATCTTGTTTAGACAAATTGAAAAAGAAAATAAAAAAAATTAAAAAAAAAAAACTAGGTGTGAAACGTGAAAAAAAAATGTCCGCAAAAACCGTTCCTCGCAGATGATGATCAATTACACATAATCATTTGAATCAAATGTTTCTCAAATGCGCATAAATTTATTTTTTCAAACTTAAATAAAGAAATATATATTTCTCTTATATCGCGATCTGATACGAATAAATTAAAGTTCTTTGAAAGCCCACTCGGATCAATCTCGGACCTCAAAACATTTATTTTACTTTTTTCTGAAATGGGGTAAGATTAATATTAATTCTACCTTTTAATAATACTCTGCATTTAATTACAAAAACAAACACGAACTTGTTCATTATTATTTTTTTTATTCCTGATTTTCCAGAACGAATTACACAGCTTAACGTATTGTTTCAAATTATTTATCTCCCTTTGTTTAATATAACCAAAACGAAATTTCATTTTGAACATGAATTTATACGAAATATAATCATAATACGGTAAACCCGATATTGTTGATCAATTTGGATTATTGGTTCGAATGAAAAAAAAAATCATCTTTCCTTATAAGTGAATTTTGTTTCCCAGATATTGTCTGAAAAAAAATTTTTTTTCTTTGAAAGAAATTCTTTTTTAGGTACTTAATTTTTCCATTTATGATACGATGAAAAAGTTCATTATTTATGCATTATTCGGCATTTATGAATAAGGTTCATGTGTCAACAAATTATTTTTAAAAAGTGTAAATCAAATTCAACAACAATAGCTTTACATTATTAATGTATCATATCCCATATTGTTTCTTGATACGACAAAAAAGAAGAATGCAATCGAGTAATTAATTTAGGATTCAGCCTTTCCATTTTCTTTAGGAAAAAAGTTACCCAAAACTTGATTGATTGATTGATTGATTACAGAGGTTAGGCGCTCGATCTTAAAGGATCTAACGTAAATCAAGCACATTTGTAATCACTATGAAGGAAATACCAAATTACCTAATAAAGATTTCTTTCTTCGAAAATCAGAGGAAATTTATAGGTGGTTCTTTGTTTTCACCTTTGTCTTTATTATGTAAAACAAATAATCCAATAATTCACTTTAAGGGGGATTATAAACAAAATGTAGATTTTCGTGAAATCGGAATTTTTCGTCATTGCACAAGCACATACCCTCCTTAAAACATGTTTTACTATGTGAGGAGAACATTAAACAAATCAATTTGAAATGGGGGTTTGATAACTGACTCAGTACTAAAACACCATTTAAATTATTATTATGATTCAAAATAAGAAATAAGGATTATACTAGACTAGTTATTATTTTAATGAATGAAGTTATAAAATGAAACATTTCTTTTTATTTATTTTATTTTATTTTATTTTTTATTGCACAAAAAAATAAATGCTGGATTCAAATGGGAAAGTTGAAAAAAAAAGGGTAAAAACATTACGGCAAATCATGTATGCACGAGCTCCTTATTTTCCATATATAAGAAAATCATTATATGATTTATATTATGTGAAATGACTTTAGTCAATTTTCTCTTCGACCCTTGAGTACAAAATGATTCGAAAAACCTTACATGTGAATCCATCCGAATCATTCTAAACTTTTTAAAACTTCTGATGAATTGCCGTGTAATGATTTAATATGTTTTGTTGTTTTTTAATAAAGTAAATAAAGTACAATTTCAGAACTAACCAACTACCATTTCCAAAGGTTTAAGCTTTTTTTAATTGTTATTATTAAATTAATTTCTGCATAAATTCATAAATTATTTGGTAAAGGATTTTGATAAAATGGGATTGGTGAAACAAATAATGATATTCTCAAAGGAACATTTTGATAAAGTGTAACGATATACATGTTCAAAGGTTCAAGTCAAGCCCTTCCTCGTAAGAAAAAAAAAAGTACATGTGCTTGAATTTAATAAGTTATTATTGGGGGAAATTAAGATTTCGAATTTCCTTTATCCTTAAATTCTTTTTTCTTTTTCTTTTTTTCAAATGTTTGCCTCGTATCACCATTAACTCCAAAATTTTACCAAAAAGATACCAATGATTTACCTTTTTACAAGTATTTCCTGATTTGAACTTTTCATTCTAAAATACACGTCTATTTTGATTTATTTTCGGAAAACGCGTGGTTCCTTAAATATATGAAAAGTTTTGATCCTCATCTCAGATTTTCTTAAAGTTAAAAAATTAATCGGTTGATCATTGATATGACAACAAACGATGATTTATACAATAACCAAAGTTCAAGTGTCGTCATGTTCATCCTAACCGTTTTCAATTCATTCTGGCACGATTGACAAGTTAACTTGATTAAATCGCAAATACCACTCACAATACCAATAAAGAAAACGAATCGAGTTAATTTATAAACATGAATGAAAGGTTAATGACAGAGACAACATGACATGAATATCAGTCACAAGAACATACATCATTACATTAACGCATGATGTCATTTAATGACCCGACGCAACAAATGAAACAATACACACATATATTTATTTATTTATGTATTGTTGAACAATATTTGTTCGAATTTCAAAAAAAAATTCTTTTTTTCCCTACAGTTTCAAAAACTTGTAAGGATCGCCTGGAAACCGAAAGTTTCATGACCTTATATGTCAAAGAAGTGGCTGCATTCGATCCAAAACTTTCGACTAGATGCAGGACGTTCTTTTTAAGATGATAATTTAAATATAGAGAATTTAAAATAATTGTTCAAATCGGATATAAAAATATCATATCACGAATAAAATTAAACTTAGAAAACAACAAGGGTTTGTAAAACATTTATGTAAGACTAAAGCAAGTGGTTTTAAAATTTATTTATGCTCTTTATTTTTTAATAACGGTTTGTTTTGACCTTTGTGTTTAGTGGTATTTTGAGGGGTTGTGTTTAATACATTAAAGTGATAGTCTGGGTTTTTGAGGTGATCGTCAAAGCAATCAAGTAAACATACGTAAAAGGAAATTTCTTTAATTACAAAATATTCAATGGACCATAATCAGCTAATGGTGAAACAATGAGATGATAAAATTGGTCAATCATTTTGTTGAACAATGAATATATGAAACACTCTAGATAATTTACACGAGATTGGTTCACATTTTCGGGCAAAAGAACGTGAGAGTATTAGGCAAGGTATTCTTCAAGCTTTTTTTGCTTTGAAATCAAAGAAGAAACGAGGGTGGATTTGAAAACACGCCGGAGTCAAAGGCGTTTAGGTCGACGCCCTAACCTGATGATCATGACCAAAAATCGAAATTTGTAATAAATGCGTATCTTTTCCCAAGAATTTTCATTCTGTTTATCATCATCTCGTGCAAAATCATCAGAGTAGAGCATTCGGAAGAATTTTGTCATTGTGATGACAAACGCATCTGGTAAACTTCCATTTTTCCAAGTTATCTCGGAAAATCTGTGTATCATTGCTGACCGGTAAATCGCATGTGACAATGGTCAAAATATCCAACATTTTCATTTTTAATATTGAAAGATTTTCAAATTTTTTTCAATACCAGATGGACCGACAGATTACAAAGCAACTCCGCATATGGCAATAATTATTATATTGATGGTGGGAAAGGTTATAATAATAAACAAGGCTCGGAAAATTATTTCATTTAATAATCGACATTCCGAACCGAGAAGTTCAAAGGCTAAAAATATAAACCATGAGGTAAGTAATTTTTCGTACAATGGAAATAATGAAACAAAAAGTTGATGATTGTAAGAGCGTTGCAACCTAGACTTTGTTCACCTCTTCGCATTTTTGTTTTCCTGCATTATGTACAAACAGGTAGGCTTCAATGAAAAATTTTGTTTGCATGATATGCATGTAATATAATGAATGCATTATCTTGGAGAAGTTAGCGGGTCACTTTCTGTTACCAAGATGTTATTTAATCATGACGAGATAGATCTACTGCGGTGTAATGTTTATTTTAGATTATTTTTATATATATATATTTTTTTTTCAAGAAATTGAGAAAAAAGGCCTAAATTAATTAATTTTTTTTTTAATGTTTCAAAAATACGCTCCCTACATAACGCCTACAGAAGTGTGAGGACGGTAAAAAGAATTCATATATAATCAAAAAATTAACGGGGAAAAATATTTTAATGTGATTTTTTTTTTCCAAAAAGGGATGTATTTCCAAAAGTTAATTATAGAAGTTAAACATTATTATTCAAGGTTTTTCAATAACGAGATAAAAAGGAATATTAAAAATTACAAAACCAAATTTAATTTCAAACAATCCATTTTTGTAGTAATTCAACTGAGGACATGTCGCACAGAACGCACACCGTTTCATGGGAATCCAAAAAAAAAAGATAAATATTTTTTTTTTGTCATATCTCCCTTGACTAAAAGTGGAATCACAACAATTTTATCTCCACGTTGTGATAGAGATTTACACAAACTTGTTACGAGTCTTGTGAAATTTGCTGTTAAGGGATATTTGTTAATATCGTTCTTGTTTAGTTACTGGTTAATGAATGTTCGTGTGGCATCATTAAGTAGAAAATAAATTTATTTATTTATTTATTTATTTTTTTTTTTGTAACAATTAAACAATAAGGAAAACATTTTTTATGCAAAGTTAAAATTATAAAAGCAATTTGGCTGAATCAAACTTTAATCGTCACATAATTTGTTCATTGTCATTTACACAAATGAATATACATTTTATATTAATGTCATTGTGAGAAATTTATATTGTTTGAACGTAAATTGTTAACGGGTAATTTGTTAAAAGAAAGTTTCTCAAGTGCCCGACTACCAAATCTGACATGATAATAATACGCAAATGCATAAATTCGCACAATTACACATTCACCAAATAATTCATTTGGAAAGAATCGCTGCGGCCAGTAATATTTGGCAGTATAAGAATCATGAAAAAAAATTTCATGTACTCAATAGATCACCGAACATATTAATTGCATAACGTTCACTTAAAATTTCTTTGTCAATCCGTGCATTTTTATTAAATGCATTCCTTAAGACAAAGAATTAAAAAAGATGCTATCAATTTTCCGAATCATTTTTTATTGTCTCGGGACATATTCATGTCATCTTAACTTGTCCGTCATTATTAGGTTCCGGAGTCATTTTGTAAAAAAACAGTTTCATTTTTCATTGAAAGCCGATAACTCGGATTTTTTCTTTTTTGGAATTTCGGTTTAAAAAAAAAAAATTACGGCAAATAAATAAATATATATATTTATATATCTATATTGAACTTTTTTTATTACTAAATATATGACAGCTGCGTTACACACAAATCTCACACCATCTGTTGTCTTATGTGACAAAAGATGAGCAAGTGACAATTGACAGTATGATTTTTTTGGTTTTGGCGAATTGACCGACAAGTTTGAAATCCAGTTAAGAAAACCCTTTTTTTTTCTTTTATAGGAGTTAAACTTCAGTCGCTCCAGGCCAAGCCCACCATGTAAAAGGGCGTGTGATACGAAATTTGGTCTTCCAATGAATCCATAAATCAATCAATTCATAACATGCTGGATGTCGATTGATTTCTCGATGAAAAAAAAATATATGAATATATATATTTTACAATAATCGTAGTATAAGTAGGGTAAAGGCGGGAAATTAACTGAATAACGTAACCATTTATTTTGTTTCGCCGACATGCTGTGTTGCAATAGATTTCACATTCAGCATTCAATAGAGTATTGGTCGGTCAGTATACAAAAAGAATTTACAATTTTGGATTTAATTGCCACCCTCTTTTCAGTTTAAATTCCAGATCAGACCTTAATATAAATTATTTCTTTTAATTAATATAAATTTTATTATTATTATTTTTATTTTATTTTTATTATTTTTATTTTATTTATTTTATTTTATTTTTAATTTTTTTATTTTTATTTTTATATGCATTCTTTTTTTTTTTATTATACCCCCACAATTGTTGAAAAGCAAAAAATTTGTCATACGTGAAAATTTTTTTAATCCAGTGATTTGATGGCACACATCCGTAAAAAAACAATACAAAATGGGCTACATAAAATAAAAAAAAGTAAATAAATAAATAAATAAAAAAAAAATCAGTATAAGCCTAATACATACAAAGTTACAAACTATTCCCTCATAAAAATTTTATTTTGCCCAATCTGTATCTTGTCGCTCAGTGTATAATTATCCTCCCCCAACTACATCAACAAAAAAAAAAAAAAAAAAAAAAAAAAAAAAAACAATAAAACAAAAAAAAAAAAAAAATGACAACCTTTAGGGGTAAGGGGAACAAAAAAATACAAAAAAACAAAAAAAAAGA